TTTTTTATAATAAATTAATGTAAAAAATATAATAATTACTTAATATTATTAAAGACAAAAAATAAAGTTGAAATTAATTAGATAAATATTAATTAAAAACCATGGAAAATTTTTTAAACTTAAAGAGGATAAATTTGTTAATAAAATTAAAAAATTCCAATTCGCTAGCAATTTCGTACAGAAAACTATTTAGGTAATTTCTTCAATACGTTAGCAGTTTTGATCTTAATCGTTATCCACTAGTCCTAAATTACTAAATAAAAAATTTTACCAAATATTTAGTTTATAATAGTTTTGAAATAAATAAGCTTATCAAACACATATTCTTAATGATTTGAACAAAACTACTAACCATTACTTTTGAACAGTTATACCAAACGGACCAAAAGTCTAGTTTTATCTTGCTTCTTGATTTGTTTTGGCTAATTATCATACTTTTTAATTAATCTTTAGATAATTATAAAATTAGTATCACTAAAATAACTTTAAAATTTCCAATAACAATTCTTAAACTAAAATCCAAATAAAAAATCTTGCTATTTTTTTTATTTTTGATTATATAATAAAAGACAATTACCTATTTTCTCTTACCCTATTTAATTTGCATTTTATGTTATTTAAACTTAAATTTTTTACTTTCAATCAAAAAATATTATCGCTAAAAAGCATACCTTAAACTCCAAACTTAAAACCTACATTTAAACTCAACTGCACGGCCTAGTAATTAAGCCTACCTCTAAGTCTAAAATTAAAAAAGTATACTTTAAAACAAAAGGTTGCAAAGGAAAAATTAAATGGCCCAATATTATTATTTAAAAACCTACTTCAAAACCCACCATATATATATATATATGTTTTAACATTGGAGGAATAATATATATATATATATAATTTAACATTCGAGGAATTTGAGGGATGGAGGTGTTTTTTTAAGGTGTCGATGGGAATCAAATTCTTAATCAATTAAATCCAAATACTTAAACTTAAAAATAAACCACGGGACCAAGGCCGGTTCCAAAACCCTATTGTTTTGCCCAACATTTGAAAATTTAATTGGGCCAATTCAAACATGAAACTCAAAGAAATATTTCTTTATCCCAATACCAATGAACTTTTCCTTTAGAATTTAAATGGCCCAATATTATTATTTTAAAGCCTACTGCCTCTGGAATTGTTTTGGCCCTTTACCCTACTTCTTGATATAAGCCTTAAAGCCAAGACAAATATTCAAATCTTGTGCTAATTTTTAAGTTATCCTGCAAGTGACAAATATTGGGGGAATAGCTTCTCGGTCCTGTTCTTGGCCTTACCGTACCGTTCCTAAGTTCCAAGATTGAAATCATCACATTGGATTACTTCTCGTTGGGTTTAATTCTGAGATGAGCCTGGCCTATATCAGGTTGAACCAATATCAGTCGAATGAGCTTATCTAAATGAGCAATGGGCTTAGTTATGTTCAAAACTAGAAATTCAACTCCCAACCCACAAGCTTGAAACCAATTTTAACTTGGTGCTGGAAACTTGAAATTTTGGGTATTTGAGAAGGGATTGAGGGAAACAAATATCCTCCTATT